TAATAATACTGACCTTAAAAGGATACCATTGTATCTTTATACCTGTTAATTACCTGTAGCTTTGTAAAGTGTTGTTTTCCTATGATTCATTTAGAAAATAAAACGTGATTACAAGCTGTCCGTTACCTATATTTTAAGGTGTTGGTTTATTCTTGAGAAGAACCATTCTGTCATCTCCCTTGAAATAAATGATGTGTCTCTGTCAGAATGCACATATGATGTTGATTTCTTGTGGGATTTAAAAAGTCACTCACGTTGAGTACAGTTAGTAGAGGTTCACAGTGGAGATCAAATTAAATGCAGCGCATCTGGAAGAACATTTTCCCATGAGTGTATTGGAAAATGACGTTCCTTCAAGTCTAATAACACAGACCTTAAAAGTATACCATTTTTTATATAACTGTTTATTGCCTGTGACATTGTAAGCTGTTTGATTTTACCATGATTCTATAGGAAAATAATACAATTACAAGGATAACAATATAAATCTTTTCAAACCTTTTCATTGCCTGTGGCATTGTTAGTTGATGTTTTCCCTTGATACTATAAGAAATATTGTGATTTCAAGGCTTATAATATTGACCTCCAAATGATACTGTTTGTATTTTTTTAGCTGTATATTGTGTTGTTTTATTAGTACTTATCCATCTCGAGGAGAAACATTCTGTCTTCTTCCTTGAGATAAATGATATACCTTTATTGAAACGCACATATGATGACATTCCAAAAAAAGAAAAAGAAATTGCTGAAATAACTTTTGACAGTTGCAGATGTAATCTTTTATCGTGCCTTAGTCATATTTTTGGAATATGTCCAAAACTTTAGTATGTTAGATTGTCTTCTTTTGCTCAATAAATTTATATAGCAGAAGACATTTATGTAACCCGATTTGTGCCTAGTCTTGCAAAAGATTTTCTCCTCTCTTGTCAGCATTGACATTCAGATTATCATTTGAAAATACTGAAGACCTTACAGATCAAATCTAAGCAACCTTCACTCTGTAAGCAGGAAGAATGGTTGTTAGGTCTCAAGGTTTTCTCGTTGTGACTAGAATTGCTGATTGTCTCTGGTAATTTTAACCTGAATCCATACAAAAGTAATTCAATATATCTATAAAAATAATTTTTATAATATTGAAAATTTGACGTCAATGATTACAAAAATAATTCAAGAATAAAAAAAATAACTTTTGTAGTAATTAAGTGCTAGTGTATCTTTCTTCCAAAATTAACAGCATAAAATATCTACAAGGAATATGAATTTTTCAAAAGTTTAGTTGCTAGTAAACTTCGAAAAATTTATATTTCAATGTGATTTTTTTCAAATTCTTCCATTTGTTGATGACAAAAGAGATATTTTAAGTTTGTTATATTTTGTACAAATGTCACAGTACATGAAAAGCATAGCGATTTGTATTTTGTGAGTCACTACTTGAGAAAAGTTTGCTTTCTTTTAGAAGAAGATGAAGAGGATTGCAACTGTTCCACAGTTGACTCCTCAGGCACAAGTCAAAGACGAGACAGATGTAGATACAGGTTGTGTTGAGTTACTCTTGTAAATATTGCATGGTCATATTTTGAAATTCCTGCTCCTAATGTAATTAATTCATCCTTTAGTATCAAGTACTCTGTAGATACACGATTTTTATGTCCATGGATTTACACATCCAATGGTTAGATGCCATTATTTCCAATGCTATGTGTAGATCTTCTTTAGAGCAGGTGAGAGAATCCTTATATTGCAAGCATCTTTATCATGGAAGCCTTGAGCTACAAGTCTAGATTTACAAATCTATTTACCATTACAATTTTTATAAGTATAAAACCCATTTTGTGGATCTCTTGGTTTGACCTTGGTCAGGAATTTGGATGTAAGTTTAGTTTTTCAATCTAACTTAGGAGCTCCTTCTTTCTTGCATTTTCCAGATCATCATTTGAAGAGGAAATAATTGTTTTCATCATCGCAATAAGTGTTTTCATCTTCTCTTGTTTGCTCAAACTCACTTGCTTTCCATTCTAATACTCCATGCTGTATCATGTATCATAATCAATTGGATGCAATATTTTTTTCATTAATTTCTTTTATGTCCATGAAAATGCTGTCTTTAAAATCTGATCCTGATGAGAATCCAACAATGGGCCATGGTCCATTCATTTTGTTTTGAATGTATATTTTACATAAATTAGGAAGTTCTTGTAAAATCTTTATGAATTCAGTGTCTTTTATTGCATTCATAACAAGATCACACAGATTTTTACTACTCAAAAGGCTGAATTGTCTGTAGAATCTTCTTGTAATTCTATTTTTCTGTTCTGTTTTTGGTAATAATTTCTTTAATGAAAACTATTTGATTAATAAACTTGTCTCAATCCGGTGGGGGTCTGGTAATAGCGATGTGATAGTGACGAGACACTACAGCCTCACCCCAACTCCCGTGTTTTTTTTGTTTGTTTTTTTATTTATGATCAATTCAGCTATAATGTAATTTTTAAGTAACTTATAAAATCATATTAAAACCATTCTGATATTTATTTTAATTATTCAAATAAAGAGAATGGAATTAGATTCTTTCAAGATGAATGTTGTATTTTTTCTCTTAAACAGGAAATTTTTAATGTTCATTTATTGTCAAGTACATGAACCAGTGTTACATTCAATATTGTTCTTATTATTTTTACTTTTGACTGAACACGCGCAATAAGACTTAATTGGTCAACTAATTATCCTAATCACCATGTTATTTATTTTGAGAAATTATTTAATACAATTCTAGAAGGAAAATGTTGTAGTTCACTGAAAGAAAAATGTTTGTTTATTTATCTTCGTATTTTTCCTCTTCACCTTTTAAAGGGATTCTCAATGTTTTGACAGAATGACGACATATAGGGGCCTCGTATCATAGATTCAGGATTCTTGTAGTGTCGGCTGCTAGAAGCAAACATCAAGCATTTATTTCTGAATGCCAAGAAATTAAGGAATTTTTAACACGAGGAACCACATTTTGTCTAACACCGCCACATCGCCTTTGTTTGTTCAAGCGAAATATTGTCTGAAAAACCAATGTAATTTCTTGTTTTTTCATTTCTTAATTCTTTCTTTGTCACATTCATGACAACTTCGACATTATTATATCAACTGAACGAACAATACAAAACTTGGGTGGTCGATTGAAGGAGGAGAAATCTCAAGGAAATCATTTGAAAACACAAACAAATCAAACGATTTTGTTTTTCTCATTGAATTTTCTCGTCTGAAAGGTAAGTGAAAGAATAATGATAATTTTGATTGCAGAAGAATTCCTTTTCTTAATCATTTCTTTCACTATTCAGGGGCCGGGATCTGTAGAAAGACAAAAAAATGCAAATTCACTTGTGATCATCTCAGAAACTAAAGAAAAAGAATATTGCATTTTTTTGTTTCTTTTTTTGTTTGTTTCTTCTCAGTTCAAAACTTCCATGTTACTAATTTCAAGTCATGGTAAAAATATATTTTTTATATCTGTTACCTCCCTCCCCCACCCAATTAATAGTACTTGCTTGATAATACTCGCTCAAAAAGTAACCACCGAATAGTAATCTGTGTATATAGTGATCACTTAGAAGCCACTCTGATTCCCATATATACATTTCTTTTACCATCATATGATCTACTTATTCAAAATGGTATCTCTTGTGTTTGCTCTTTGATGGTCTGTGTTCAAACCCCAGTGTCATCAGTGACTCTATAACAAGTTTCTGATGAAATATTAGAAAATTTCGGTTAATTTACAGTATCAGCCCCAAAAGTCCCCAGTAATGAGAATGTGCCATTCTGATGTGAAATTGCCTGATTATTTCGAAAATGACATCAAAACATTTTGTTTGGTTACTGTTTAGAAGTTATGGACAAAGTAATTTTGACTTTTTTCTTGTTGCATCGACAGAATGACTGCCATTATCAGCTTTGTTTGTTTGCCTCGATCAGTCATGTGTGGAAACTTTACTTCTGTTGATTACTGTGCAATGTGCAAAGTTTAAAATGAATGTGTGAAATTTTAAGTTACCCAACAGAAAAGAAACATCACGATTCCAAAGTAAAAATGGAAAATAAAATAAAAGAAAATCTGATGATTTCAAAGAAACACATGCTAGAAAGGATTACAAAATGTCAAAATATAATTAAAAATATTCTTTGGGAATTCTTCTTAATAATAATGGAAACATTTTGATGATACAAACTTTGTTTTTATTACATCTGTGACTTTTAAAAGACCAATTCAATAAAAAAACATGAATTCATTAGTTAATAAAGCTTCAGTTCCACAAAGAAACAATACATAAAAAGGAATTTATAGAACAAGAAAGAAATATTCAATTTCAACTGTTTCTATAACAAATTTAAACCACTTTAATAAAAAAAAAAAAATATTCATTTAAAACTTCATTTTTTAAAAAAAAAGTGCGCTTTAAAATAAAAAAAAGTTCATTTTAAAATAACATCCACGAAAATTGTGCAGTAATCAAAATGAGTAAGATATGAAAAGCTGTAAAAAGTCTCTTAAATAAGTAAGCTTCTGTGCATTACTACTTGAGGCAAACCAGACAACGCGAAAGAGATCGAACTTACAATGATGATAAATTGTAAACGGTAATCAAGAGCAATGTTTTCATGTCATTTTCAAAATAATCAGACAATTTCATGTTAGAATGTTGCATTCTCATTACCAGGGACTTTTTGTGCTTATACTGCAAATGAACCAAAATTATAATAAATTTTAAATAGTTATTGATCTCATTTTCTGATAATGTCATGTATGGATGCCTATATTTAAAAAATTGGCACATTTATACACACAAAATAATTCAGAATTATTTTAAAATTCCTGTGCTCACTGAATTGTACTAAGCTTTTCAATTTATAAGTAAATAGAGTTTTTATTAAATAACAATATCACCTAGCCAATGCAGATTATATATATATATAATCTCATGGTCGTGATTTGGTGAAGATTTGGAGTAAGAATGACTTGCAGACATGGTAAGTTTTAGGTATTTTGGCTTTTATAGACTTAGGTACAAAAACACTTGCTGATGAAATGTTGGAAATTTTCCAATAAATTTTGAATAATTATTGCTCTTATTTTCTGATAATATGATGCATGGACAGCCATATTTACAAAAATTGGCAGGGTTATACATACAAAAAAAAAATTCAAAATTCTTTTTAAAATACTATACTTCCTGAATTAAGCTTTTGGATTTATGATTAGTAAATACAATTTTTACTTAACTATATCTCCTAACTGATGCAAATTAATTTGGAATTTTAAAAGATTTAAAACTTTATAAAAAGTATTAAAATTAAAATTGATTAAAAAAGTATGAAAATTAAAATCTTTCAAAAAATGAAAACAAATGTAAAATTTCATTCTTCACCAAAACAAAAAAACCAGGTTCCCTAGACATTCAAACTTCCTATATTCTAATTTATAGTCTCTCCTGATGCAAGTAAAGACACTCAGGCTTCCTATATTCTAATTTATAGTCTCTCTCTGATGCAAGTGAAAAAACCCTCAGGCTTCCAGGCCCTCAAGTAAAGACCCTCAGGCTTCCTATATTCTAATTTATAGTCTCTCTCTGATGCAAGTGAAGACCCTCTCTGATGGTTTTCCTATATTCTAATTTATAGTCTCTCTCATTGCAAATAAAGACCCTCAGGCTTCCTATATTCTAATTTATAGTCTCTCTCTGATGCAAGTAAAGAAAAGGCTTCCTATATTCTAATTTATAGTCTCTCTCTCTGATGCAAGTAAAGAATCAGGCTTCCTATATTCTAATTTATAGTCTCTCTCTGCAAATGCAAGTAAAGACCCTCAGGGCTCCTCATTCTCTCTGATTTATGGTCTCTCTCTCAGTCTTCCTAAATTTATAGTCTCTCTCTGATGCAAGTAAAGACACTCAGGCTTCCCATATTCTAAAATGAAGTAAAGACAAGGCTTCCTATATTCTAATTTATAGTCTCTCTCTGATGCAAGTAAAGACCTCAGGCTTCCTATATTCTAATTTATAGTCTCTCTCTGATGCATGCAGGCTAAAGACAATTTATAGTCTCTCTCTGATGCAAAATTTCCTATATTCTTCCTATATTCTAATTTATAGTCTCTCTGATGCAAGTAAAGACACTCATTCTAATTTATAGTCTCTCTCTCTGTGCAAGTAAAGACACTCAGGCTTCCTATATTCTAATTTATAGACACTCAGGCTTCCCTTCTGATTTATAGTCTCTCTCTGATGCAAGTAAAGACACTCAGGCTTCCTATATTCTAATTTATAGTCTCTCTCTGATGCAAGTAAAGACACTCAGGCTTCCTATATTCTAATTTATAGTCTCTCTCTGATGCAAGTATATATTCTAATTTATAGTCTCTCTCTCTGATGCAAGTAAAGACCCTCAGGCTTCCCTATATTCTAATTTATAGTCTCTCTCTCTGATGCAAGTAAAGACACTCAGGCTTCCTATATTCTAATTTATAGTCTCTCTGATGCAAGTAAAGACACTCAGGCTTCTCTAATTTATAGTCTCTCTCTGATGCCCTCAAATTCTAAAGACCCTCAGGCTTCCTATATTCTAATTTATAGTCTCTCTCTGATGATGTAAGACACTCAGGCTTCCTATATTCTAATTTATAGTCTCTCATCAGGCTTCCTATATTCTAATTTATAGTCTCTCTCTGATGCAAGTAAAGACACCTATATTCTAATTTATAGTCTCTCTCTCTGATGCAAGTAAAGACTCATCAGTCTCTCTCTGCAAGTTCCTTCCTATATTCTAATTTATAGTCTCTCTCTCTGATGCAAGTAAAGACCTCAGGCTTCCTATATTCTAATTTATAGTCTCTCTCTGATGCAAGTAAATATTCTAATTCTATACCAACAGGCTTCCTATATTCTAATTTATAGTCTCTCTCTGATGCAAGTAAAGACACCTCAGGCTTCCTATATTCTAATTTATAGTCTCTCTCTGATGCTGACCCTGCTTCCATATTCTAATTTATAGTCTCTCTCTGACAAGTAAAGACCTCAGGCTTCCTATATTCTAATTTATAGTCTCTCTCTGATGCAAGTAAAGACCCTCAGGCTTCCTATATTCTAATTTATAGTCTCTCTCTCCCATGCCAGTAAAGACCCTCAGGCTTCCTATATTCTAATTTATAGTCCTCTCTGATGCAAGTAAAGACACTCCTTCCTATATTCTAATTTATAGTCTCTCTCTCTGATGTAAAGTAAAGACTCTCTCTGACTCAGGCTTCCTATATTCTAATTTATAGTCTCTCTCTGATGCAAGTAAAGACACTCAGGCTTCCTATATTCTAATTTATAGTCTCTCTCTGATGCAAATAAAGACACTCAGGCTTCCTATATTCTAATTTATAGTCTCTCTCTGATGCAAATAAAGACACTCAGGGCTTCCTATATTCTAATTTATAGTCTCTCTCTGCAAGTGACAAGTAAAGACACTCAGGCTTCGTATATTCTAATTTATAGTCTCTCTCTGATGCAAGTAAAGACATTCAGGCTTCCTATATTCTAATTTATAGTCTCTCTCTCTGATGCAAGTAAAGACCCTCAGGCTTCCTATATTCTAATTTATAGTCTCTCTCTGATGCAAGTATATTCCTATATTCTAATTTATAGTCTCTCTCTCTGATGCAAATTTATAGTAAAGACACTCAGGCTTCCTATATTCTAATTTATAGTCTCTCTCTGATGCAAGTAAAGACCCTCAGGCTTCCTATATTCTAATTTATATGTCACTCTCCTATATTCTCTCTCTCTCTGATGCAAGTAAAGACACTCAGGCTTCCTATATTCTAATTTATAGTCTCTCTCTGATGCAAGTAAAGACACTCAGGCTTCCTATATTCTAATTTATAGTCTCTCTCTGCAAGTAAAGACACTCAGGCTTCCTATATTCTAATTTATAGTCTCTCTCTGATGCAAGTAAAGACACTCCAGGCTTCCTATATTCTTCCCTATATTCTAATTTATAGTCTCTCTCTCTGATGCAAGTAAAAGACACTCACCTATATTCCCAATTTATAGTCTCTCTCTGATGCAAGTAAAGACCCTCAGGCTTCCTATATATTCTAATTTATAGTCTCTCTCTGATGCAAGTAAAGACACTCAGGCTTCCTATATTCTAATTTATAGTCTCTCTCAAGTCTCTGATGCAAGTAAAGACACTCAGGCTTCCTATATTCTAATTTATAGTCTCTCTCTGATGCAAGTAAAGACACTCAGGCTTCCTATATTCTAATTTATAGTCTCTCTCTGATGCAAGTAAAGACACTCAGGCTTCCTATATTCTAATTTATAGTCTCTCTCTGATGCAAGTAAAGACACTCAGGCTTCCTATATTCTAATTTATAGTCTCTCTCTGATGCAAGTAAAGAACCTCAGGCTTCCTATATTCTAATTTATAGTCTCTCTCTGATGCAAGTAAAGACCCTCAGGCTTCCCTATATTCTAATTTATAGTCTCTCTGATGCAAGTAAAGACACTCCAGGCTTCCTCTCTCTATGCATCCAGGCTTCCCTATATTCTAATTTATAGTCTCTCTCTGATGCACTCAGGCTTCCTATATTCTAATTTATAGTCTCTCTCTGATGCAAGTAAAAGACCTCAGGCTTCCTATATTCTAATTTATAGTCTCTCTCTCTGATGCAAAGTAAAGACACTCAGGCTTCCTATATTCTAATTTATAGTCTCTCTCTGATGCAAGTAAAGACATGGCTTCCTATATTCTAATTTATAATGCAGTAAAGACACTCCCCTAAAATTTATAGATGCACTCAGGCTTCCTATATTCTAATTTATAGTCTCTCTCTCTGATGCAAGTAAAGACACTCAGGCTTCCTATATTCTAATTTATAGTCTCTCTCTGATGCAAGTAAAGACACTCAGGCTTCCTATATTCTAATTTATAGTCTCTCTCTCTGATGCAAGTAAAGACACTCCCAGGCTTCCTCTAATTTATATATTCTAATTTATAGTCTAATTTATAGTCTCTCTCTGATGCAAGTAAAGACCCTCAGGCTTCCCTGTATTCTAATTTATAGTCTCTCTCTCTGATGCAAGTAAAGACCTCTCTGATGCTTCCTATATTCTAATTTATAGTCTCTCTCTGATGCAAGTAAAGACACTCAGGCTTCCTATATTCTAATTTATAGTCTCTCTGATGCAAGTAAAGACACTCAGGCTTCCTATATTCTAATTTATAGTCTCTCTCTGATGATGACAAGGCTAAATTTATACTCTCTCAATCTTCCTTCCCTATATTCTAATTTATAGTCTCTCTCTGATGCAAGTAAAGACACTCAGGCTTCCTATATTCTAATTTATAGTCTCTCTCTGATGCAAGTAAAGACACTCAGGCTTCCCTATATTCTAATTTATAGTCTCTCTCTCTCTGATGCAAGTAAAAGACACTCAGGCTTCCTGTATTCTAATTTATAGTCTCTCTCTGATGCAAGTAAAGACACTCAGGCTTCCTATATTCTAATTTATAGTCTCTCTCTGATGCAAGTAAAGACACCCTCAGGCTTCCTATATTCTAATTTATAGTCTCTCTCTCTGATGCAAGTAAAGACCCTCAGGCTTCCTATATTCTAATTTATAGTCTCTCTCTCTGATGCAAGTAAAGACACCTCAGGCTCCCTATATTTCTAATTTATAGTCTCTCTCTCTGATGCAAGTAAAGACACTCAGGCTTCCTATATTCTAATTTATAGTCTCTCTCTCTGATGCAAGTAAAGACACTCAGGCTTCCCATATTCTAATTTATAGTCTCTCTCTCTCTGATGCAAGTAAAGACCTCAGGCAAGTAAATAGACCCTCAGGCTTCCTATATTCTAATTTATAGTCTCTCTCTGATGCAAGTAAAGACACTCAGGCTTCCTATATTCTAATTTATAGTCTCTCTCTGATGCAAGTAAAGACCCTCAGGCTTCCTATATTCTAATTTATAGTCTCTCTCTGATGCAAGTAAAGAACACTCAGGCTTCCTATATTCTAATTTATAGTCTCTCTCTCTGATGCAAGTAAAGACACTCAGGCTTCCTATATTCTAATTTATAGTCTCTCTCTGATGCAAGTAAAACACCCTTCCTAGGCTTCCTATGTATTCTTCCTAATTTTATAGTCTCTCTCTGATGCAAGTAAAGACCCTCAGGCTTCCTATATTCTAATTTATAGTCTCTCTCTCTGATGCAAATAAAGACTCTCTCTCTCTGATGCAAAAGAAGACACTCAGGCTTCCTATATTCCTATAATTTATAGTCTCTCTCTGATGCAAGTAAAGACACTCAGGCTTCCTATATTCTAATTTATAGTCTCTCTCTCTGATGCAAGTAAAGACACTCAGGCTTCCTATATTCTAATTTATAGTCTCTCTCTGATATAAAGACACTCAGGCTTCCATATTCTCAATTTATAGTCTCTCTCTGATGCAAGTGAAGACCCTCAGGCTTCCTATATTCTAATTTATAGTCTCTCTCTCTGATGCAAGTAAAGACACTCAGGCTTCCTATATTCTAATTTATAGTCTCTCTCTGATGCAAGTAAAGACACTCAGGCTTCCTATATTCTAATTTATAGTCTCTCTCTCTGATGCAAGTAAAGACACTCAGGCTTCCTATTCTACCTCCAGGCTTCCTATATTCTAATTTATAGTCTCTCTCTGATGCAAGTAAAGACACTCAGGCTTCCTATATTCTAATTTATAGTCTCTCTCTCTGATGCAAGTAAAGAATCAGGCTTCCTATATTCTAATTTATAGTCTCTCTCTCTGATGCAAGTAAAGACCCTCAGGCTTCCTATATTCTAATTTATAGTCTCTCTCTGATGCAAGTAAAGACACTCAGGCTTCCCATATTCTAATTTATAGTCTCTCTCTCTGAATTTATATTCTAATTTATAGTCTCTCTCTGATGCAAGTAAAGACACACTCAGGCTTCCCTATATTCTAATTTATAGTCTCTCTCTCTGATGCAAGTAAATTCTAATTTACACTCAGGCTTCCTATATTCTAATTTATAGTCTCTCTCTGATGCAAGTAAAACACTCAGGCTTCCCATATTCTAATTTATAGTCTCTCTTGATGCAAGTAAAGACCCTCAGGCTTCCTATATTCTAATTTATAGTCTCTCTCTCTGATGCAAGTAAAGACACTCAGGCTTCCAATATTCTAATTTATAGTCTCTCTCTGATGCAAATAAAGACACTCAGGCTTCCTACATTCTAATTTATAGTCTCTCTCTGATGCAAGTAAAGACAAGGCTTCCTATATTCTAATAGTCTCTCTCTGATGCCAAGGACACTCAGGCTTCCCTATATTCTAATTTATAGTCTCTCTCTCTAAGATGCTTCCTGTAAATTTATAGTCTCTCTCTGAAAGTAAAAGACACTCAGGCTTCCTGTATTCTAATTTCTATCTCTCTCTGATGCAAGTAAAGACACTCAGGCTTCCTATATTCTAATTTATAGTCTCTCTCTCCCAAGTGCAAGTAAAATTTACACTCAGGCAAGTAAAGACCCTGCTATATTCTAATTTATAGTCTCTCTCTGATGCAAGTAAAGACACTCAGGCTTCCTATATTCCTAATTTATAGTCTCTCTCTCTGATGCAAAGTAAAGACACTCAGGCTTCCTATATTCTAATTTAGACACTCAGGCTTCTCTCTCTCTCTGATGCAAGTAAAAAGACACTCAGGCTTCCTGTATTCCTAATTTACAGTCTCTCTCTGATGCACTCAGGCTTCCTATATTCTGAATTTATAGTCTCTCTCTCTGACTCAGGCTTCCTATATTCTAATTTATAGTCTCTCTCTCTGATGCAAGTAAAGACCCTCAGGCTTCCTATATTCTAATTTATAGTCTCTCTCTCTCTGATGCAAGTAAAGACACTCCAGGCTTCCTATATTCTAATTTATAGTCTCTCTCTCTGATGCAAGTAAAGACACTCAGGCTTCCTATATTCTAATTTATAGTCTCTCTCTGATGCAAGTAAAGACACTCAGGCTTCCCTATATTCTAATTTATAGTCTCTCTCTGATGTGCAGTAGTAAAGACACTCAGGCTTCCTATATTCTAATTTATAGTCTCTCTCTGATGCAAGTAAAGACACTCAGGCTACCTATATTCTAATTTACAGTCTCTCTGGATGCAAGTAAGACACTCAGGCTTCCTATATTCTAATTTATAGTCTCTCTCTGATGCAAGTAAAAAAGACACTCAGGCTTCCTATATTCTAATTTATAGTCTCTCTCTCTGATAGCAAGTAAAGACACTCAGGCTTCCTAATTCTAATTTACTCCTCTCTGATGCAAGTTCCTTCCTATTCTAATTTATAGTCTCTCTCTCTCTGTGCAAGTTCCTAAAGACCCTCAGGCTTCCTCTATATTCTAATTTATAGTCTCTCTCTCTGATGCAAGTAAAGACACTCAGGCTTCCTATATTCTAATTTATAGTCTCTCTCTGATGCAAGTAAAATACTCAGGCTTTTATAGACATTCACAATTTATAGTCTCTCTCTGCTCTTCAGTTTAGTGCAAGTAAAGACACTATTCTATATTTAATTTATAGTCTCTCTCTGATGCAAGTAATATATACCCTCAGGCTTCCTATATTCTAATTTATGGTCTCTCTCTTGGCTTTTTATACAAGTAAAAAACACTCATGAAATGTTAGAAAATTCCTATATTCCCTGAATTTATTGTCTCTCTCTGATCTCTGATGTAAGTATTTAAAAATTGATACATGCAGAAAAAAATTCAAAATTCTTTTTAAAATACTGGCTTCCTATATTCTAATTTATAATCTCTCTCTGATGCAAGTAATTTGAAATTCAAGATTCCTATATTCTTAATTTATAGTCTCTCTCTGATGCAAGTAAAAGAAAACATCAGGCTTCCTATATTCTAATTTATAGTCTCTCTCTGATGCAATAAACACTCAGGCTCTAATTTATAGTCTCTCTGATGCAAGTAAAGACACTCCAGGCTTCCCTATGTTCTATTTATAGTCTCTCTCTGATGCAAAAACACTCAGTCCAGGCTTCCTATATTTCTAATTATAGTCTCTCTCTCTGATGCAAGTAAAGACACTCCTAGGCTTCCTATATTCTAATTTATAGTCTCTCTCTGATGCAAGTAAAAGACCCTCAGGCTTCCTCTAGGCTCTCTCTGATGCATGCTATATTCCCTAATTTATAGTCTCTCTCTCTGATGCAAGTAAAGACACTCAGGCTTCCTATATTCCTCCTCTGAGGCTTCCTTCCTATATTCTAATTTATAGTCTCTCTCTGATGCAAGTAAAGACACTCAGGCTTCCTATATTCTAATTTATAGTCTCTCTCTGATGCAAGTAAAAACCTCAGGCTTCCTATATTCTAATTTATAGTCCCTCTCTGATGCAAGTCTCTCAGGCTTCCTATATTCTAATTTATAGTCTCTCTCTCTGATGCAGAAAGACACTCAGGCTTCCTATATTCTAATTTATAGTCTCTCTCTGATGCAAGTAAAGACCCTCAGGCTTCCTATATTCTAATTTATAGTCTCTCTCTCTGATGCAAGTAAAGACACTCAGGCTTCCTATATTCTAATTTATAGTCTCTCTGATGCAAGTAAAGACCACTCCAATTTCCTTCATATTTCTTCAATTTAATTTTATAGTCTCTCTCTCTGCATGCAAGTAAATAGTCTCTCTGACCCTCAGGCTTCCTATATTCTAATTTATAGTCTCTCTCTGATGCAAGTAAAGACACTCGGGCTTCCTATATTCTAATTTATAGTCTCTCTCTGATGCAAGTATAGACACTCAGGCTTCCTATATTCTAATTTATAATCTCTCTCTGATGCAAGTAAAGACACTCAGGCTTCCTATTTTATATATTCTAATTTATAGTCTCTCTCTGATATATTCTAATTTAAGTCTCTCTCTGATGCAAGTGAAGACACTCAGGCTTCCTATATTCTAATTTATAGTCTCTCTCTGATGCACTCAGGCTTATTATATTTCTAATTTATAGTCTCTCTCTCTGATGCAAAAGTAAAGACACTCAGGTTCCTATATTCTAATTTATAATTTAAAGACATTCAGGCTCTCTGATGCAAGTAAAGACACTCCTTCCTATATTCTAATTTATAGTCTCTCTCTCTCTGATGCAAGTAAAGACACTCAGGCTTCCTATATTCTAATTTATAGTCTCTCTCTGATGCAAGTAAAAGACCTCAGGCTTCCTATATTCTAATTTATAGTCTCTCTCTCTGATGCAAGTAAAGACACTCAGGCTTCCTATATTCTAATTTATAGTCTCTCTCTCTGATGCAAGTAAAAAGACACTCCAGGCTTCCTATATTCTAATTTATAGTCTCTCTCTGATTAAAGACACTCAGGCTTCCTATATTCTCTCTCTCTGATGCAGTAAAGACACTCAGGCTTCCTATATTCTAATTTATAGTCTCTCTCTGATGCAAGTAAAGACACTCAGGCTTCCTATATTCTAATTTATAGTCTCTCTCTGATGCAAGTAAAGACACTCCAGGCTTCCTATATTCTAATTTATAGTCTCTCTCTGATGCAAGTAAAGACACTCAGGCTTCCTATATTTCTAATTTATAGTCTCTCTCTGCAAGTAAAGACACTCAGGCTTCCTAATTATAGTCTCTCTATTCTAATTTCTATTATAGTCTCTCTGATGCAAGTAAAGACCCTCAGGCTTCCTATATTCTAATTTATAGTCTCTCTCTGATGCAAGTAAAAGACACTCAGGGCTTCCTATATTCTAATTTATAGTCTCTCTCTCTGATGCAAATATTCAAAGACACTCAAGTATAGACAGGCTTCCTATATTCTAATTTATAGTCTCTCTCTGATGCAAGTAAAGACACTCGGGCTTCCTATATTTACTAATTTGATGCAAGTAAAGACCCTCAGGCTCCTATATTTCTAATTTATAGTCTCTCTGATGCAAGTAAAGACCCTCAGGCTTCCTATATTCTAATTTATGGTCTCTCTCTGATACAAGTAAAAGACCTCAGGCTTCCCTATATTCTTTATTCTCTCTCTGATGCAGTAAAGACACTCAGGCTTCCTATATTCTAATTTATAGTCTCTCTCTGATGCAAGTAAAGACACTCGGGCTTCCTATATTCTAATTTGCTGAGTCTCTCTCTGATGCAAGTAAGACACTCAGGCTTCCCTATATTCTAATTTATAGTCTCTCTGATGCAAGTAAAGACCCTCAGGCTTCCTATATTCTAATTTATAGTCTCTCTCTGATGCAAGTAAAAGACACTCCAGGCTTCCTATATTCTGAATTTATAGTCTCTCTCTCTGATGCAAGTAAAGACACTCTATATTCTATTTATAGTCTCTCTCTGATGCAAGTAAAGACCTCAGGCTTCCTATTTCTAATTTATAGTCTCTCTCTCAGTGCAAGTAAAGACCCTCGGGCTTCCCTATATTCTAATTTATGGTCTCTCTGATGCAAGTAAGACCTCAGGCTTCCTATATTCTGGTTTGTAGTCTCTCTCTCTGATTTAGTAAAGACACTCAGGCTTCCTATATTCTAATTTATAGTCTCTCTCTGATTACAAGTAGGGCACCATATTCTAATTTATAGTCTCTCTCTCTGATGCAAGTAAAAGACACTCAGGCTTCCTATATTCTAATTTATAGTCTCTCTCTTTCTGATGCAAGTAAAGACACTCAGGCTTCCTATATTCTAATTTATAGTCTCTCTCTCTGATGCAAGTACTCCAGGAGAACACCTCTAGGCTTCCTATATTCCAGGCACCTAATTCTATATTTTATAATCTCTCTCTCTCTCTGATACAGAGTAAACACTCCAGGCTTCTATGTTCTACTCAGGCTTCACTTAGACTTCCTATATTTCAATTTAGTCTCTCTCGATGCAAGTAAAGACACTCAGGCTTCCTATATTCTAATTTATAGTCTCTCTCTCTGATACAAATAAGACACTCCAGGCTTCCTCTATTCTAAATTTATAGTCTCTCTCTTACAAGTAAGACACTCAAACCCCTATATTCTAATTTATAGTCTCTCTCTGATGCAAGTAAAGACACTCAGGCTTCCCTATATTCTAAGTTATAGTCTCTCTCTCTGATGCAGAGTAAAGACACTCAGGCTTCCTATATTCCCTAATTTAGCAGTCTCTCTCTGTTCGCAAGTAAGACACTCAAGGCTTCCTCTATTCTAATTTATAGTCTCTCTCTGATGCAGGTAAAAGACACTCAGGCTTCTATATTCTAATTTATAGTCTCTCTGATTTTTAGTAAACCCACTCAAACTTCCCTATATTCTATTTTTTAATCTCTCTCTCTCTCTGATGCAAGTAAAAGACACTCAAAGGCTTCCTATATTCTAATTTAATCTCTCTCTCTCTGATAAAACTCAAAAATTGCTCAGGCTCTCTCCTATTCCACCAGGCTTTTATTCTAATTTATAGTCTCTCTCTGGTGATGATAAGAGACACTCCAGGCTTCCCTGTATTCCTAATTTATAGTCTCTCTCTCTGATGCAAGTAAAGACCTCCAAACTTCTTATATTCTAATTTATAGTCTCTCTCTGAGTAAAAGTCCGGGACCCTCAAGGCTTCTATTCTCTCTCTTGATTTTGATAGTCTCTCCAGCTCTCTGTTCTAGTTAAAGTCTCTCTCTAGGCTAGCCTCATTCATTTTATTTAGTCTCTCTCTGAGTGCAAGTAAAGTACTCAAACTTCCCATATTCTAATTTATAATCTCTCTCTCTCTCTGTGTAAGTAAAGACACTCAGGCTTCCTATGTTCTAATTTATAGTCTCTCTCTGTGCAAAATAAAGACACTCAGGCTTCCTATGTTCCTATTTATAATTCTCTCTGGTGCAAATTAAGGACACTCCAGGCTTCCTATTTCCTAATTTATAGTCTCTCTCTCTGATACAAAGTAAAGACACTCAAGGCTTCCTATATTCTAATTTATAGTCTCTCTCTCTGATTTTAGTAAAGACACTCCAAACTTCCTGCTATTCTAATTTATAGTCTCTCTACATTCAAGTAAAGACCCTCCAGGCTTCCTATATTCTAATTTATAGTCTCTCTCTCTGATGCAAATAAAGACACTCCAGGCTTCCTATATTCCCTAATTTATAGTCTCTCTCTCACAGTGCAGTAAAGACACTCCAGGCTTCCCTATATTCTAATTTATAGTCTCTCTGATGCAAGTAAGACCCTCAGGCTTCCTATTCTAATTTATAGTCTCTCTCTACATGCAAGTAAAGACCACTCAGGCCTCTATTCTAATTTATGAGTCTCTCTCTCTGATGCAAGTAAAAGACACTCAGGCTTCCCTATTCTAGTTATAGTCTCTCTGATGCAAGTAAGGCCTCAGGCTTCCCTATATTCAATTTATAGTCTCTCTCTCATTGCAAGTAAACACTCAGGCTTCCCTATATTCTAATTTATAGTCTCTCTCTGTGCAAGTAAAGACACTCAGGCTTCCTATATTCAGACACTCAGGCTTCCCTGTATTCTATTTAGTCTCTCTCCCAGTGCAGTAAGGGCCTCAGGCTTATTCTAATTTATAGTCTCTCTCTGATGCAAAAAGACACTCAGGCTTCCTATATTCTATTTATAGTCTCTCTCCAGTGCAAGTAAAGACACTCCAGGCTTCCTATATTCCTAATTTTATAGTCTCTCTCTCTCTGATGCAAGTAAAGACCTCAGGCTTCCTATTCTAATTTAAGTAATTTGCAAGTAAGACTCTCTCCTATATTCCCCAATTTATAGTCTCTCTCTGAAGTAAAGACCCTCAGGCTTCCTATATATTCTAATTTATAGTCTCTCTCTCTGATGCAAGTAAAGACGCTCAGGCTATTCTAATTCCTATCTATATTCAATTTATAATTCTAATTTCTCTCTCTGATGCAAGTAAAGACACTCAGGGCTTCCCCCTAATTTATAGTCTCTCGTTATTTCAGTCTTCCCTCTCTGATGCAGTAGGAGCCTCCAGGCTTCCTATGTTCTAATTTATAGTCTCTCTCTGATGCAAGTGATAAAGAGACCCTCAGAGCTTCCTATATTCTAATTTATAGTCTCTCTCTCTCCCAGTGCAAGGGAGACACTCAGGCTTCCTATATTCTAATTTATAGTCTCTCTCTCTCAGAAGTAAAGACACTCAGGCTTCCCTATATTCCTAATTTATAGTCTCTCTGATGCAAGTAGGAACCTCGGGCTTCCTATATTCTAATTTACAGTCTCTCTCTCTCTGATGCAAGTAAAAGACGCTCCGGCTTCCTCTGTTTCCTAATTTTATAGTCTCTCTCTCTGAGTACAAGTAAAGTGCAATTCCCTAATTTATAGTCTCTCTCTGATGCACTCAGGCTTCCTATATTCTATTTTATAATCTCTCTTAAAATTAAAAGACACTCGGGCCACTATATTTCCTAAATTGAAAGTCTCTACATTTTTCAAGTAAAACAGGCTTCCTCTATGTTCTAATTTATAGTCTCTCTCTGGTGCAAGTAAAGACACTCCCAGAGCACCTATATTCTAATTTATAGTCTCTCTGATGCAGTAAAGACACTCAAGGCTTCCTATATTCCTATTTTATAATCTCTCTCTCTCTCTGATGCAAGTAAGACCCTCAGGCTTCCTATATTCTAATTTATAGTCTCTCTCTCTGATGCAGAAATACTAAAGACACTCAAGGCTTCTTATATTCTAATTTTATAGTCTCTCTCATGCAAGTAAAGGCCCTCGGGCTTCCTATATTCCCTAATTTATAGTCTCTCTCTCTCTGATGTAAGTAAAAGGCACTCAGGCTTAATATTCTAATTTATAGTCTCTCTCTGATGCGATAAAAGACACTCCAGGCTTCCTATATTCTAATTTATAGTCCTCTCTGATGCAAAGCAAAAACACCTCCAGGCTTCCTATTCAATTTATAGTCTCTCTCTGATGCAAGTAAAAGACACTCCAGGCTTCCTCTGTTCTAATTTATCCAGTGCAAGTCTCTCTAATTTATAGTCTCTCTGATGCAAGTAAAAAAGACACTCCAGGCTTCCTATGTTCTAATTTATAGTCTCTCTCTGATGCAAGTAAAGACCCTCAGGCTTCCTATATTCTAATTTATAGTCTCTCTCTCTGATGCAGTAAAATATTCTAATTTATAAATTCTCCTCTGATGCAAATGTAAGACCTCCCAGGCTTCCCCTATATTCCCTAATTTATAGTCTCTCTCTCTGATGCCAAGTAAAGACACTCCAGGCTTCCTATTCCTAATTTATAGTCTCTCTGATGCAAGTAAAGACACTCCCATGCCCCACCTTATTTCTAATTTATGGTCTCTCTCTGATGCAAGTAAAAGACACTCCTTCCATCTATTCTAATTTATAGTCTCCTCTCTGACAAGCTAGTAAGACGCACTCAAACTTCCTATGTTCTAATTTATAGTCTCTCTCTACTGATGCAAGTAAGAGACACTCCAGGCTTCCTATTCTAATTTATAGTCTCTCTCTCTGATGCAGAGTAAGACACTCAGGCTTCCCTTCTAATTTATGGTCTCTCTGATGCAGAAGTAAAGATACTCAGGCTTCCTATGTTCCTAATTTATAGTCTCTCTCTGATGCAAGTAAAGACCTCCAGGCTTCCTATATTCTAATTTATAGTCTCTCTCTATTGATGCAAGTAGAACCTCAGGCTTCCCTATATTCCCTAATTTATGAGTCTCTCTCTCTGATGCAAGTAAAGACACTCAGGCCCTATATTCTTCCCACAATTTATAGTCTCTCTCTCTGATGCAAAGTAAAGACACTCAGGCTTCCCTATTTCACAATTTATAGTCTCTCTCTGATGCAAATAAAGACCTCAGACTCCTATTCTAATTTATAGTCTCTCTCTCTGATGCAAATAAAAGACACTCGGGCTTCCTATATTCTAATTTATAGTCTCTCTCTCTTCATGGTCTCCTCTGATTACTAAAGACCTCAGGCTTCCTATATTCTAATTTATAGTCTCTCTCTCTGATGCAAGTAAAGACACTCAGGCTTCCCTGTATTCTAATTTATAGTCTCACTCATTACCCAAGTAAAGACACTCGGGGCTTCCCTCTATTTTCAATTTATAGTCTCTCTCTCCTGATGCAAGTAAAAGACACTCAGGCTTCCTCTGTTCTAATTTATAGTCTCTCTCCTCTCTGTGCAAGTAAAGACACAGGCTTCCCATATTTCCCAATTTATAGTCTCTCTCTCTGATGCAAGTAAAGACCCCAGGCCAAGGCTATGTTCTAATTTATAGTCTCTCTCTGCAAGTAAAGACACTCAGGCTTCCCTATATTCTAATTTATAGTCTCTCTCTCTGATGCAAGTAGACCTCGGGCTTCCTATATTCTAATTTATAGTCTCTCTCTCTGATGCAAGTAAAGACACTCAGGCTTCCTATCTATTCTAATTTATAGTCTCCTCTCTGATGCAAAATAGGACACTCGGGCTTCTATATTCCTACAATTTATAGTCTCTCTCTGATGCAAGTAAAAGACACTCCCAGACTTCCTCTATTCTAATTTATAGTCTCTCTCTGATGCAAGTAAACTCAGGCTTCCTATGTTCCCACACTCAGGCTTCCTATATTCTAATTTGTATAGTCTCTCTCTCTGTGCAGAGTAAAGACTCTCAGGCTTCCTATATTCCTAGTTATAGTCTCTCTGGTGCAATACTAAAGACACTCCTAGTTATAGGTTCCTCTCTGATGCCATTTCTATGTTCGATTGATAGTCTCTCTCTGATGCAAGTAAAAGACACTCCAGGCTTCCTATATTCAATTTATAGTCTCTCTCTGATGCAAGTAAGACACACTTCCACTAATTCGGCTTCCCTGATGCAAGTAAAGACACTCAGGCTTATAGTCTCTTTATAGTCTCTCTGATGCAAAATGCAAAGACACTTGGGCTTCCCTATATTCTAATTTACTCTAGTCTCTCTCTCTGATGCAAGTAAAAGACACTCAGGCTTCCTATATTCTAATTTATAATCTCTCTCTCTCTCTGATGCAAGTAAAAGACCTCAGGCTTCCCTATATTCTAATTTTATAGTCTCTCTCTCTGATTACAGTAAAAGACCCTCAGGCTTCCTATATTCCCCGTTTATAGTCTCTCTCTCTGATGCAGAGTAAAGGCCTCAGGCTTCCCTATATTCTAATTTGTAATCTCTCTCTGATGCAGTAAAGACACTCGGGCTTCCCTATGTTCTAAGTTATAGTCTCTCTCTCTCCAGTGCAAGTAAAGACCTCCGGAGGTTTTCCTATATTCTAATTTATAGTCTCTCTCTCTGATGCAAGTAAAAAGACACTCAGGCTTCCTCTATTCCTAATTTATAGTCTCTCTCTCTGATGCAAGTAAAGACACTCCAGGCTTCCTATATTCCTAATTTTATGGTCTCTCTCTGATGCAAGTAAAGACGCACTCCAGGCTTCCTATGTTCTAATTTTATGGTCTCTCTCTCTCTCACAGTGCAAATAAGACACTCCAAAACCTATATTCCTAATTATAGTCTCCTCTCTGATGCAAGTAAAGACACTCCAGGCTTCCCTATATTCCTATTTTATAGTCTCTCTCTGATGCAAAAAAGACCTCCAGGCTTCCTATGTTCTAATTTATAGTCTCTCTCTCTCCCATGCAAGTAAAGACACTCAAGGCTTCCTATATTCCACTAATTTATAGTCTCTCTCTGAGTGCAAGTAAAGACACTCAAGGCTTCCTATTCTAATTTATAGTCTCTCTGTTTTAGTAAAGAGAACACTCAAGCTTCCTATATTCTAATTTATAGTCTCTCTCTGATTGCAAGAGTAAAGACGCTCAGGACTTCCTATATTCTAATTTATAGTCTCTCTCCTAAAAGATCTGGGCTTCCTATGTGTTGCCATTTATAGTCTCTCTTGATGCAAAAGACTCTCGGGCTTCCTATATTCTCTCTCAATTTCATAGTTTGGTCTCTCTCTGATGCAAGTAAAGACACTCAGGAATAGTCCTGCTCTCTAATTTACTCCAAGGCTTCCACATCTTCAATTGATAGTCTCTCTCTGAGGCTAAAGACACTCCCTATGACCTAATTTATAGTCTCTCTCTGATGCAAGTAAAACACTCAGGCTTCCTATTTCTAATTTATAGTCTCTCTCTGATGCAAGTAAAAGACCTCAGGCCTTCCCTGTTATTCTATTTATTTATCAGTCTCTCTCTGATGCAGACACTCAAACTTAAGAACACTCTCAGGCTTCCTAATTTATTCTCTCCTCGTTGATTTAGACTTTCTCTATTTCTCTCTCTCTCTGTGCAAGTAAAACCCCTCAAGGTTTCCTGTATTCTAATTTATAGTCTCTCTCTCTGATGAAATGTAGAAAATTTCCAGGCTTCTATTATTCCTAATTTTGATAGTCTCTGATGGAAGTAAAGACACTCGGGCTTCCTATATTCAAAATTTATTTAAAATACTGTGATTATTTAGCTTTTGGCTCTTATAAATTTTTAATTAATAACCTCTTTCTGGATGTAAAGACTCCAGGCTTCCTCTAAAACTAAAATTAAAATTAGTATTAAAATTATTAAATTAAAATTACTCAGGCTTTATCTCCCTGTAAAATTTCTTCATGAAAGTAAAGACATTCAAACTTTATAGTCTCTCTCTCTGCAAGTAAAGACACTCAGGCTTCCTGTAAAGTTATAATTCTTTCTGATGTAAGTAAAAAAAATTTAGGCTTCCTTTTATTCTAATTTTCAGTCTCTCTCTGATGCAAGTTATAAGACCTCAGGCTTCCTATATTCTAATTTATAGTCTCTCTCTCTGATGCAAGACTAAAGAATGACTCAGGCTTCCTATATTCCAATTTATAGTCTCTCTCTGATGATGCAAGGAAAGACACTTTATACAGGCTTCCTATATTCCATGGAATTTAGCGCTATTTATTTATAAATCTCTCTCTCTCTAACTGATGCAAAAATAAAAGACCTCCAAAACTTCCCTATATTCTAATTTAGTATTAAAAGTCTCTCTTTCAAAAAATGATGCATTCTTCAGAAAACCAGGTAAAAGATTCAAACTCCTATATTCTAATTTATAGCTTCCTCACTCAGGCTTCTAATTTTTATAGTCTCTCTCTGATGATGCAAGTAAAGACCCTCAGGCTTCCTATATTTCTAATTTATAGTCTCTCTCTGATGCAGATTAAAGACACTCCAGGCTTCCTATATTCTAATTTATGGTCTCTCTCTGATAGAAACATGTCATTAAAGACCTCGGGCTTCCTCATATTTCCTCTATTCTATTGCATTCTCTCTCTGATGCAAGTAAAGACACTCCAGGCTTCCTATATTCCTAAAATTGACAGTCTCTCTCTCTGATGCAAGTAAAGACACTCAGGCTTCCTATATTCCTAATTTATAGTCTCTCTCTCTACAATGCAAGTAACAGACACTCCAGGCCTATATTCCCTTTATAGTCTCTCTCTGATGCAAATAAAGAGACACTCAGGCTTCCTATATTCTATTTTATAATTCTCTCTCTCTGATGCAAGTAAAGACACTCCGATGCCTATGTTCTATTTTATAATCCTCTCTCTCTCTGATGCAAGTAAAGCCTCCAGGCTTCCTATATTCATTTGTAAGTCTCTTTCTGAGGGAGCCTCAGGAAGACACTCAGGCTTCAGACTTTCTTTATATTCTAATTTATAGTCTCTCTCTGATTAAAGACAGACTCTCAGACTTTCTATTTCTAGTGAATGCTAATTTATAGTCTCTCTCTCTCTGATGCAAGTAAAAAGACACTCGGGTTTTCCTATATTCCCTGATTTATAGTCTCTCTCTCTCTGATGCAAGTAAAAGACGCCAGGCTTCCTATATTCCTTTTATGTCTCTCTCTCTCTGATGCAAGTAAGGCACTCAGGCTTCATATTCCACAATTTATAATCTCTCTCAGTGCAAGTAAAAAAGACCTCAGGCTTCCTATATTCTAATTTATAGTCTCTCTCTCTGAAAAACTGGCTTCCTATATTCTAAAGACACTCAGGCTTCCTGTATTCTAATTTATAGTCTCTCTCTGATGCAAGTAAAGGCACTCAGTCTTCCTATATTCTAATTTATAGTCTCCCTCTGTGCCAGTAAAGAGACACTCCAGGCTTCCCTATATTCTAATTTAGTCTCTCTCTCTGATGCAAGTAAAGACACTCAGGCTTCTCTATTCTAATTTATAGTCTCTCTCTAGTGCAAGTAAAGACACTCAGGCTTCCACTATATTCTAATTCATAATTCTGTCTGATGCAAGTAAAAACATCAGGAACTTCCTATATTCCTAATTTGCCGTCCTCTCTGGTGCAAAGTAAAAGGACTCTCCCTACTATTCTAATTTATAGTCTCTCTCTCTCTGATGCAAGTAAAAGACTCTCAGGCTTCCTATATTCTAATTTATAGTCTCTCTCTCTCTGATGCAAGTAAAAGACTCTCAGGAAGCTTCCTATATTCCCCTAATTTATAATCTCTCTCTCTAGATGCAAAGTAAAGACACTCCAGGCTTCCTATATTCTGGTTATAGTCTCTCTCTGATGCAAGTAAAACACTCCAGGCTTCCTATATTCTAATTTATAGTCTCTCTCTGAAAATTAAAGACACTCAGGCTTCCTATATTCCTAATTTATAGTCTCTCTCTGCAAGTGCAAGTTCCTAAATTTATAGACTCCTCTAGGCTTCCTTCCTATATTCTAATTTATAGTCTCTCTCTCTGATGCAAATAAAGTACTCAGGCTTCCTATGTTCTAATTTATAGTCTCTCTCTCTGATGCAGTAAAAAAGACACTCAGGCTTCCCCTATATTCTATTTTAGTCCTCTCAATCTCTCTCCTCTCTTATAGATGCAAGTAAAAGACACTCCAGGCTTCCTATATTCTATTTTATAGTCTCTCTCTACTCTGTGCAAAGTAAAAGACACTCAGGCTATATTCTTCCCTGCAAGTAAAGACACTCATTTATAGTCTCTCTCCCATTGATGCCAGTAAAGACACTCAAGGCTTCCCTATATTCTAATTTATAGTCTCTCTCTCCCCAATGCAAGAGAAAAGACTCTCCTCAGACTTTCCCTGTATTCTAATTTAGACACTCAGGCTTCCCTATGTCTCTCTCTCTGATGCAAGTAAAGACACTCAGGCTTCCTATGTTCTAATTTATAGTCTCTCTCTCAGTGCAAGTAAAAGACCTCAAACTTCCTATATTCTAATTTAGTCTCTCTCTCTACATGCAAGTATTAAAGGCACTCAAACTTCCCTATATTCTAATTTAGTCTCTCTCTGAGTGCAAGTAAAAGACCCTCAGGCTTCCTATATTCTAATTTAGTCTCTCTCTCTGATGCAAAATATTAAAAAGACCTCAGGCTTCCCATATTCTAATTTATAGTCTTTTTCTCTCTCTGATGGTAAAGACACTCAGGCTTCCTATATTCATTTAGTCTCTCTCTCTGAAGTAAGACACTTATAGTCTCTCTCTGATGCAAGTAAAAAGACACTAAAGGCTTCCTATATTCCTAATTTATAGTCTCTCTCTCTGATGCAAGTAAAAGACCCTCAGGCTTCCTATATTCTAATTTATAGTCTCCCCTCTGATGCAAGTAAAGACACTCCGGGCTTCCCATATTCTAATTTATAGTCTCTCTCTGATGCAATGCACCTCAGGCTTCCCTGATAGTCTCTCTGGTAGACTTCTATTCCTAATTGATGGTCTCTCTCTGATGCAAGTCCCAAAAAACCCCTCCAGGCTTCCTATATTCTAATTTATAGTCTCCCTCTGATGCAAGTAAAAAGACACTCCAGGCTTCCCTGTATTCTAATTTATAGTCTCTCTCTGATGCAAGTAAGAACCTCCCAGGCTTCCCTATATTCTAATTTATAATCTCTCTCTCTCTGTGCAAATAAAGAACCTCCAGGCTTCCTATATTCTATATTGCATCTCTCCCTCTCTGATGCAAGTAAAGACACTCAGGCTTCCCTATATTCTAATTTATAGTCTCTCTCTCTCTGATGCAATGCAAAAGACACTCCAGTTCCTCTATTCTAATTTATAAGTCTCTCTGATGCAAGTAAAAGGTACTCAGGCTTCCTATATTCTAATTTATAGTCTCTCTTTTCTGATTATTTGAATAAAGACACTCAGGCTTCCTATATTCTAATTTAATTCTCTCTCTGATGCAAGTAAAAACCTCAGGCTTCCTATATTCTATTTTATAGTCTCTCTCTCACTCAGGCTTCTGTATTCCACAATTTATGAATTCCCTCTCCTGATGCCAAGTAAAAGTACTCAGGCTTCCTATATTTATTCTAATTTTATAGTCTCTCTCTCTAAGTGCAAAGACACTC